AGTGATAGCTCGGAAATGAAGCAAATACACTGAAGGGAGTTGACGACAGGCCAGTTTAGGGGAAGTTAAAGTTTGCAGTTACATGGGATAGTGAACATTCAGTTAAGTAAATATCAGTGATATTGAAAGAAAGATTAAGAATGGGGTGAATGATTAAAGAAGTACAAATTAGTAGTTGATAGATGGTCACAGGGATGGGGAGCACAGCATAAGGAATGCAGTTAGCATTAATGCAATGGCTAGATAGAGCCAGAGGAGAGAAAGAACAATTAGGGAGATTGTTTTATAAACCACATAAATGTCTAACCAATGTACTGTATACTTGGAACTAACAAAATTGAATAAAAAGAAAAGAAAATGGGTTCTAGAATCAGAATGACTGTTAAATCCCAGTCCTGCCAATTAATATAAATAATTAATTTTTTAAAAAAAGCCAAATAGGGAAAAATAAACTTGAGGCATGTGAAAGAGGCCTTCTTAAAAAAGAAAATGGCCAACTTTTATTTATAAGCAAATTATAAGGAATAGGCATTCCTAAGGAAAGGAAAATGGCAAACTTTTATTAATAAGCAAATTATAAACCCTGGTCTTTTATGTATATGTATACTTAGAACTCTACACATATCTTAAAACTCTTGTTCATCTTTGAATTCACCATACTGTAATTTTTTTGTCCATGGTAAAAACTCAGTAAATATTTGCTGAATGCTGAATTTAAATTAAAAAAAAAAAAACAATTTTAAATGAATTGGGAAATAATTGGTAGCTGCTTTAGGGTTTTGTGGAAAGGAATATAATTAAAATTTTTTAATTATAAATGGGGCGAATGACTGAATGTTTTATCTTTTATTTGGGATAATTAGGAAAAGGGATTCAAGGGGTGGGAGCTGGTAATTTATTTTTCGTTTTAGTGCTTAATAGGGTTTGGGTACTGTACTAAACTTGCTGTATAAATTATCACATCTAATTTTATCCTCACAACCTTCGGAAGCAGGTTCTGCTATTCCCAAAAGTCAACTGAGACTCAAGGATTTTAAATAATTTAAGTTCTTCTAGGGAACCTGGGAAAGAGCCACAGTTGGAACTGCGCATGGCGTAAGGTCCAGTCTTGACTTTATTCTTTACAAAGTATATAATTTACCAGTGGGATGTATCTGAGGTGGTCCTCGAATTATCTATCCATTACCTCATTCTTAACTATTTGGCCTAAACCTTCATCATTAGAAACACTCGTTTGGATTGAAAAGGACATAGCCTCCCAAGGATCATTTTTTAAGGGAGCACAGATCGGTGTCTCATAATAACTTTTTTCTGTCAGATATGTTCCCAGCACTTTTATATTCCAAACCCTGAAGATTAACTCTTCTCTGTAAAAGTTGTTAAAATAACTATTAGGTAAGAAATCCATTAATTATGACCTTGTGTTCTTCCTTTCATCCTGTCATTCAACTGTGTCACAGATGAGCTGTTTGGGACTTGCTGATTGAACTGGACTTTGATCAGTGGCAGTTTTGAAGAACAGTCAATGGATGATTTAATCCCCTCTTGCGATTTCTTTTCTGATAGGTATTTTAACAACTTTTGGATTTATTAATAGTTAATATTTTCAGAAGTTGCAATGGCCTGTTGTTTACTCCTAGTCAAACGGTTTCTATATAAAAAGTCATTTATTGCTTTTGTTTCAAAAGGTGCTGGTACCAGTTGTTTGGGAACCCAGAGCTTAGTGTTGGCTCTGCATATAACCAATATTCTTTAAAATGGATGGCTTGGCTTCTCTTGTTTCTCATAGCTTTAGTGATTTTGAAAGAATAATCTTTCACAAGTCAGTATATGAATAAACCTCAGTCTGCGCTAAACTTCCCAGCCCCTGTGATAAAGGTTTTACCATTGAATTTATTTTACTTACGTTATTCACAGCCTAGTCATTGCAGGGGACTCTAGATGTGTGACATACCCAACGACATATTTGAATAGAAAGGTTTTTCTTTTTTCCCTCACTAGTAATAATAATTATTATAATATTTATATAATTAGTGTTATTAGAGTGGTCAGGGAAGGTCTCTAAAGAGGAAATATTTGAGTAGAATCCTAAATAAACTGAAGGCACACTCATAGTTTAGGGCAAAGAACATTCCAGACAGAAGAAATATCGGTGGCAAAGCCCTGAAGTGGGAACAGACTTGTTACATTCCAGAAACAGCAAGAAGGTCAGCAAAGCTGTGGTAGAGGAGTGAGCTAAGAGGGGACAGCGCTAATCTTTGACAAATACAACTTCACATTAGTTGGCTTTCTAGTCCTTGGTTTGAATTTTATTTTGAGCATAAGAAAACATGAAGCAGTGAGACCTTTTAAGAGGATATTTAGAAAGGCTGACTAGTTTGGGATATTAACAGTGCAGGTAGTAGAAATGAACAGGTTTAAGATATATTTTAAAGATAGACTTAAGGGGCTTGCTGATAAAATATATGTGGAATATTTATTAACACAGTAAATGTTAATTTCCATTCTTGAGGTAATATGAATAACCATATTTAGTAAATGTGAAATTGTATTTGTCAAAGATTAACTTTGTCCTCTTCTTCAAGTTAATAATCCTGCAGAATCTTGGCTTCTTTGTATAATGGCTGATAAACTTATTTTGTGAGAAGATTGACTTTGCATTATTTGAAGAATTTCTCCAAAATGATTGTTAGAAAAAATTTTTTCATATGGAAAAACCAAATTTAATAATTTTTCAACTAAAAATTGTCCAGTTTAATATACATATTGTATAATATATATATATTCCTGTTAGTTTCAGTAAAATAAAAATAATTCACATGTGCTGTCTGTATTACATTATTTACTTGAAATCTTTTCTGAATCAACTTGTCTTTCAAGTATTTCTTTATTCATGTATGTTTTGAAGTTTGGAATATTTCTTCTTTATTATTTTAATTATTTTCCAAAGGTCTCTTAATTTTACTCAGCCTAATTACAAATATCTGGTAATTTATATCTTTAATAAATTATTCATTTTACATGTATAATTTGTAATTATTTTTCTGTATTTTGTAGAATGTTGTTCCAGCTGAAGTGTCCCTTGTTTGTGTGGTGAAGCCAGATGAATTCTGGGATAAGAAAGTAACACATTTTTGTTTTTGGAAAGAAAAGGATAGACTTGGCTTTGAGGTAAATATACTCTATTAAACAAAAACAGGAAAAGTATGTTATATCTTTAAAAATAGCATTTTGCTGGTGGTTTATTTGTTCAACTTTGGATACTAAGCAGTGTTTAAGCAATGCTTAATCAGTGCCTAAGCAATGGTTAGTTTATAGTTGGCATTCAGATAATTAATGAGTTATGATTCCTTGTTAACTCCTTTGAATAAATAGAAACTTTTTATTCAAAATATTCTATTGCATTACCAAGATGACATTTAACTAATACTAGGAAACCCTAGACATTTTGAAATTGAAGCCATATTTTATATGATATGTCATGATTATTTTTTAGAGTCTAGTTTAGTTTTGATACATGAACACCATTATCCATCTTTTCCTGTTGACATTATTCTCTCCCTCTGACACTTTTCTTATGTGAAAGTACATCTTACTGTGGATCAGAAAGAAGGCCTAAAATGGAATATAAATTTAAAGAATTCTGTCATATTTTTTCTCCCACAGTCAGTTAATACCAGCTTCCCAGTAGGAGAGTTGATAGATACTAAACTTTACCCTGGTTAAATGAAGCGTGGGAGTATTGTAGGATACAAAGTCCAACACCTACCCTGTAGAATATAGAGCCTTGGAATGCTTACAAGAGGCAGACAATTAAGACTCATTTTGGACCTTTTTTCAGTAAAGTCAGTGTAGTTTTGGTTAGGAGGAAAGGTCACCAAGACGTCTTAGCTAAAACAGTTTAAGAAAGCCTAGTTAATTCTTAAATGAAGTAGCTTGAAATGTCTTAAAAATGTGTGATTTTTTTTCCCACACTTAAAGTTAAGCTGTAATTTACGCGCAATAAAATTCATTCATTTTAGTGTAAAATTATGACAAACACAAACAGGTGTGTAACCACCATAACAATCTAGAAATCCAAGAAATATCTCATTGCTCCAAAAATTTTCTCATCCTCCTTTGTAGTCAACTCTTCCTTTCATCTTTAGGCCCTAACAACTGCTGATCTGTTTTCTGTCCTTATAGTTTTGCCTTTTCTAGAATGTCATATAAGTGTAACGATAGAGTATATAGCCTTTTAAATCTGTGTTTTTCATATATGCATTTTCATTTGAGATTCATCCATGTCGTTGCATGTATTGGTAGTTCTTTCTTATTACAGTATTCCATTATGTAGATGTACCATAGTGGTTTAGTTTTGATACATGAATGAGTCATATGGTAAGTATATCTTTAACTTTATAAGACACTTCCAAAGTGGAATTTCAAAGCAGCTGTATAATTTTGCATTCCCACCAGCAAAGTATGAAAGTTCTATCCTTGTCAGCATTTAGTATTGTCAGTTTTTTGTTTCATTTGTTTTAAATTGTCGTTACTCTCGTGGATGTATAGAAGTGTGTCATTGTGGTCTTAACTTGCATTTCTCTAGTGACTAATAATGTGAGTATATTTTCAAGTGCTTATTTGCCAGCCATGTTCCTTCTTTGGTGGTGTCTCTTTAACTTTTTTGCCCATTTAAAAAAAATAAATAAGGCCTTTGCTTTCTTGATATTAAATTTTGAGAGGTCTTTATGTATTTGGTTAGAAATCTTTCATGAGATGTAATTTGCAAGTATTACCTTCTCAGTCTGTTTGCTTTTCATTATCTTAACAGCATTTTTTCAAGTTTTTAACTTTGATGAAATCTAACTTAATTTTTTTTTTGTTTATGAATAAAGCATTTTGTGTCATAGCTTAGAAATCTTTGCCTAACCCAATGTCACAAAGATTTCTCTCACCTTTTTTACATCTTGCATTTAAAGCTGTGATCCATTTGAGTTAATAGTTATGTATAAAGTTATGGTCTGACAATATATACTTTATGACTTTGGTTCTTTTTAATTTGTTAAGGTTCTTTTTTTTAAATTCTTATTATTAGTTTCAACTGTACAGTACATGGGTTAGACATTTATGTAGTTTATGAAATGATCCCCCAATTGCTCTTTCTCTCCTCTGGCTCTACACCTTGCCATTAGTAAAGATCTATGCACCCCTGTGTTCATGGTAGCACAGTTTATAATAGCCAAGATTTGGAAGCAACCTAAATGCCCATCAACAGATGATTGGATAAAGAATTTATTGTTCATATATACAATGGAATATTACTCAGCCGTTAGAAAAAATGAAATCCTACCATTGTCAATGACATGGATGGACCTAGAAGTTATGCTGAGTGAAATGTCAGAGAAAGATAAATACCATATGATTTCACTTATACACAGAATCTAAGGAACAACAACAACAACAAAGACAAACTAATCAAAAATAAACTGACAAATATAAAGATCTAGATTTTGACTCAGTATCTGATCTGCCTAGTTGATTTCCTTGTGCATGTGATAAGAATATTTGTCCTGCTATTGTGGATGGATTGATCTGTAACTGTCAAGATGGTTCATAGTGCTGTTCACATTGGTGTTTGATTTTTTTCTGTGTGTGTATGTGTGGGTGTGAGTGTGTGTTTCAGTTTAGGTATTTTCAGTTGATCTATTTTCAAGTTCACTGTTTCCTTGGTTGTGTTGAGTTTGTTGATGAGGTGTAAACTCCCTTCATCTTTGTTAATGATGTTTTTAGTTCGTAGCATTTCTATTTGATTCTTTCTCTGCTGAATGTCCCCATCTCTTCTTGCATATCGTCTTGCAGTTTTTCTATGAGAACCTTTAGCGTATGTTACAATAATCTCAAATTTCCTACATGATAGTTTTGTATCTGGGTCTGTCTTATTTTGGTTATGTTGTTTGCTTTGTTTCTTGACAGTGGGTTATTTCTTTCTTGCTTTTTATGTGCCTGGTTATTTTGATTTGGACGTTGGACATCTTGTTTAGGACAGTAGAGACTAAGATAAATCATTTTCTGCCTGCACATGGCCCTTGTCTTTTGCAAGGCTTTCACTGGGATAAGGGAAGGATTGGTTAGTCTAGCCAGGAGTTGAGTTGACTTTGGCTTTGTTGTTGCTGTTACTTCTCTCAGTGCACCACAGGCTTCAAATTCCTTTAGTTACTTTGCATTGAAGATGTAGGCTGGTTTGCCAGAGGGGTTTGTTTTTATAATACGAGTCTCACCCTCAGCTATAGGTCTTTTCTTTGCACCCATGCCTCAGAGATCTCTCTTTGTGCTGTTGACTCTCCCTCAGAAGTAGATTGTTGTTACTTGTTATTCAGTGTTTGTCAGAGGGACGTTCTCTGTTGTTTTGATTAAGCCTCAGTCCTAGGCAGGCTCTGTAACTGTGATTCCAGGGGAGAAGGCCCTCTTAGGATGTTTTCCCTTCCCCAGCTTCAGGGGGCCTATAATAATCTGGGCCCATAATAAATTCCTGCCCACACTAGGAGAGAGGATTCTTCCTTTCCATTCCTTCAGCTGCACTGAGCCTTTACTTGTACTCTAAGGTCATCAGAGTTTGCCATCTTTTCCTCAGCACCTGAAGATTTTTGTTCTCTTGGCGAGATAAAGAATCCGGGCCGTGTGTCACCTTCATGCCTTTCCAGTTACTGGCTTCTGTTCCCTTCCCCCAGGCCTGTACTGTGAGAGAGGCTATTTCTAAATTTCTTTTCCTACCTACCCCCACATCTTTCACTTGAGTCCCTCAGAGGTTTATGGAAAAGAGCCTGCAAGTGAGTTCGAATGCTTCTGTCTTCTCCTTCCAAGGGGTTCTATAACTTTCACATTAGCACACATTTGTCCTTTAGCAATTCATTAAAAACTTTAGCTGAATTCTTATCTGGCTTGTATCATGTCTGGCATTTTCCCCAGGTTAAGCAAGTGCTCCAGTTCCATCTGTCTGTGAAGGCACCAGTCTTTCCTTAGATTTCAGGTTAATTCGTTTTCCTGACTTGGATAGATTCAAGAAAAGTTTTGATTTTTCAGATTAACTGGTGCTCTTTTATTGTTGTTGTTGTAATAGTTGGAGCAATGTGATTTCCAGCTTTTTTACATGCTAAACAGAAGCCAGGTGTTTTGTTTTTCACTCTTATGTTGCAGCTTTTGTCATTGGTTGACTCGACTGCGATGTAGGCAGAGTGGAAGGGAGTGTGTCAGCGTGTAGGGTAAGGCAGACCTGGATTGCATTAAGAAAGGTGTTATCCTGATAATTGAATGGGAAATGCATCCCAGGGAAGAGAAGCAGAAGTGTAGCGAGGAAGGAAAGTAAAAGCCGAAAGCAGGAGGCCTGAGTGTTGCCACAGTGAGTACTTGGGACAGGAAAGGCAGCTGTGCCTGCCGGGGGCATGGAGGAGATGTTGCTCCTAGAGAATGCAGAGTGGTTCAGAAACTAAAGCCGCGAACACTGAGTAGGGGAGAGGATCCTTTTTGTGAGGAGTCTGTCACATCCTGCTTAAGCATAGGCGTCTGCTCAGAAGTGCTATGCCCGATTGGGTATGATGCTGTATGACTTAACAGTGAGGTAGTAGGTTCCATACTGGAGGATAAAATAGAAAACAGAATTCCTCTCTGCCTTGATCTGATGTCATATATTGATGTTTTAAAATTCAAGTGTTAAAGCTTGTTCTATCAATATATTTTATTTTAGACATTGAAGAGATTCACCTAAGAATATTTTCCCAAGTAAATAAACACTAGATACTTATTAAAAGCCCAATGAGACAAGAGTAATATATACTGCCAAACATATTCAGATTTAAGGGGCAATTTAGCAGCAGCCATTAAATGATACTTAGAGCTGTATATATAATTTAATTCAATACAGATTCTTGTTTAATTAAAAACTATTTTCTTTGGTGTTATTTTAGATCATTTGGTCTGTTATAATGAAGCCTGTGGTTTTATATATATTCTAAATATTTTTTACAAGTATAACTTTGTTGTGAGTACTGGTGTTTCTGTAAGCAAGAATATGTGTTTTATCTTACAGAATTATCCATAACAAAGATCTGTTACCAGCTGTTCACATGGTCTCAAATAAACACCCAGTAGTCTTTTTATTTATTTATTTTTTATATTGTTGACTATATTCTCTA